GAAATATGAATCTAGGTCTAACATTTGGGAAAAGGACATCAACAGCCTTTCTGGCTTTAAGTTTCTGCCACAATACATGGAAATCAGGAAGGTGGGTAGAGAGGTACACAAGTACATATTCATGACTAAATTTAACCCCGAACTTCTAAAAATAAAATAATTTTGGAAGAGAAAAGGCATAATTTTGTTTTTGGTTTTGTTTGTTTGTATGTATGTTTGTTTTGTTTTTGAGAGATGGAGTCTTGCTCTGTCACCCAGGTAGAGTGGCCTATCTCTGCTCACTGCAACCTCTGTCTCTCGGGTTCAAGCTCTGAGTCTCCTGCCTCAGTTTCCCAAGTAGCTGGAAATACAGGCATGCGCCACCTCACCCAGCTAATTTTTGTATTTTTTAGTAGAGACAGGGTTTCATTATATGTTGGCCAGGCTGGTCTTGAACTTCTGATCTCTGGTGATTTGCCCACCTCAGCAAGTGCTGGGATTACAGGTGTGAGCCACAGCACCCGGCCAGAAAAGGCATAGTTTTGAACACATTAAATCTGCATAAGTTGTCACCAAACTTACTATAAACAATCATTACTATGCTAAAAGTTTCAGAAAAATCCTGGTCCACATTTCTGCAGCTGGCTTAGTTGCCTTTAATTTCAGGTTCTTTGTTTCTTTGATGTAAAAATAATTGCTCTATCTTCTAATAAAACTGTGCCAGTGACCACAGCCATATGCGACAGCGCTGTGTCTGCTACACAGGTGGCTCCACTTTCATGTCGACTTCCTACCATGCTGAGCATTTCGGAGTATGGGTGCCTTCCCAGCTTTAATGAGGAAGAAATGAAGCTTGCTTTGGAAGGACATGTTAGGAAGAAGGCAGGTGATTCCCTCCTGATAAAACGTCCCTGAATGAAGTCAGTTTTCCTTTTGTATTTGACACTGTCATCAAATGACCCTATTTCCGTGGAGATGTAGTGACAGCCTTTCGTAGATGACGAGCAAGTCTCTCTCTTCCCCTCCTCCGTGATTACTCCACATAGCACCCTAGTCCAACAAAAACAGTGGAAGTTGAAGAACTGAGGTCAATGATGTCGTAAATTTATGAATTCTGCACATGCCCATCTCCAGTTCCCTGGGTATTTTGTTGAAGGGAAGAATAATTTTTGAAGGCATATTGATGCACCTGAATGTCAACCTTCTATGCAAAATAACAGGCTAGAGCAGAAAGAGATGTCAGTGAGTGTGAAGATTAAAAAACAAAACAAACAAAACAAAAAGAAACCTCTTCTCACAGTTACCGAAAACAAACCTAAGGAGAGAAGGCACTTAATGTGGGAAGAAAGCAAGAACCTTTGGACTCCCTCGTTTCTATCTCTCCCAAACAAGACTTGCAATGATTTTATATGTCAGTACACACACTGAGTGCTATCCCAGCATACGTAAAACATCACAGATGAGAGTAACACCTGTCTTTTCTTTAGTCTGTCACTGAAAGTAGTTTTCATGACAGTGTTTATTTGATTCACATGATACCAGTTTGAGCTACTTGGCTTTGTTTTATTCTATTATTATGGTCGTTTACTGAGCACTCACCATGGGCTAAACACTGTTTTATGTCCTGGGCCAAGAATGGTCAAGAGCAGTCTCTTGACTTACAATAGATGACACTCTAACTTGGGATAGCGGTCTTCATGTGGTGGGCACCTTCCCTGGACTGAAGACAAGGGTGAAGGGACGGCCTGACCGATGCAAATCCATCCCTGTCACTAGAGAAAAAACTCAAAGCACATGTTTGGCAGGGCTGAGGCAGCAGTGATTCTCAGCTGCAGAGGGCAGCACGTATCGCCACGGCCATAACTGAAAAGCTAGGCGGGACCCTACTCACACCCACCTTCCCCTGTCTTGGGCGGTGTCTCTAATCTGAACTGACTCACTGAGCAGATAGACAAAACTAACTGTTGGGAATGAGGTCAGTTTTTCAACAACAAAAAAGTTTCCTTCTATTCCTCAACGTTTCTCTGGTATCAGAATTCCGCGTGAGAGTGCAGTGACTTAGAACAAGTAAGGCAGCCTTGGATTCAAGCCTTGGCTCTGCCAGCACTAATCGTAACTTTGGCCATTTCTGGGCCTTTAAATACTAAAATCCATAAAATTAACCAGTTAGTCTGGATGCTCTTTGAAATTCCTTCTAGATCTAAGATTTCTTGGTTCCATATAAGGTTGCCAGATTTAGCAAAGGAAAATACAGGATGCCTAGAAAAACTTGAATTTCAGGTAAACAACGAATCATTTTTTAGTACAGGTACCCCCATGTCCTGTATTTCATCTGGCAACCCTAATTTCATGACGTATGTGCCTCTCCAAGATGAAAGCAAGTACTCCAAGGGCAAATGCCTGTTCTTGGGGGAAAGGTTGTCAAGGTTGTTAATATTCTTAAGCAGACCGGGTGCTGTGGCTCACGCCTGTAATCTCAGCACTTTGGGAGGCCGAGGTAGGTGGATTACCTGAGGCTGGGAGTTCAAGACCAGCTTGACCAACACAGAAAAACCCATCTCTACTAAAAATACAAAATTTGCCAGGTGTGGTGGCACATGCCTGTAATCCCAGCTACTCGGGAGGCTGAGGCAGGAGAATGGCTTGAACCCAGGAGGCGGAGCTTGCGGTGAGCCCAGATTGCACCACTGCATTCCAGCCTGGGCAACAAGAGTGAGATTCCATCTCAAAAAATATTTATCTATCTATTCTTAGGCAGATTTGTATCAGGAAATGTGGGCCGTGTTGTATGACTTGACCACCCTACTCTGATTAAACAGAGTGGTTTTCATAGATAGATAGGGATGGGAAAATGCCCCACCTTGCTTGGACTGTTGGAAGAGATATAATTAGTGGCCAATGTGGGCCTCAGCCTTCCACCCGCTTTCTCTCCCAGCTCAGCTCAATGGTGGCTTGAAGACAAAATTTCCAGGCACCACAAAAGGGCAAATGGGCCCTTTGAGCTTAGTAAGACAAAAGCAAGAACAAAAGGAAAAGAGAAGGAAGAACCTGAGGCTCCCTGTTAAATAATCATGAACAGATTAATTGTTTTAATGTAACATAAACTCAACTGGAAACAAAATGAAACTGCCAACCGATATGAAGGCCCAGGTGGGATAGAGGAAGGCCCAGACGGCTGAGTCCATGATCACAGAGACACAAAAAGCTTGTGGAAAGCCCTCCATGTCTTTGCTTGATTTTCTTTCTATATTGATTTTATTCTGTTTGGTAGGAAAGAGGATCAGAGTTATTCCCACTCCAACCCCAGGGAATGGGTTTATGTACAAAAAAGAGAGACTTGGCTCCCCCACAAAAGAGAGGAAAGCAGGACCAAAAGAACAAAAAACATGGAAAAAAATGGGCAGACGACTTCATCAAGCTTCTCTGCATTTGGCTGGAATCCTAGCAACTTCGGGTTGCTGTTTCATACTAGTCATAAATTTTGATTGGCTGTTTTGCTTCCTTTTTGTTAATTCAAGTTGGAAAACAGGTGAAGTATTCTTCCGGAAAGTCAGTATTTTGATGCATAAAATCTTTTGATTCTGAAGAATAGAAGGAGGAGTGATAAGAATGGATTCTTGTGATGAAATCTGGGGGACTTCTGTTAGAGCAAACATTTATTGAGAGTCTGCCATGAGCCTCACACCGTAACACACATTCACAAACTGCCCAACTGACATTCACTCCATAAGGTAGGTGTCATCCTTTCCATAGGAAAGAAAATTATATCTGATAAGATGAATGGCTTGGCCACGGTTGGGAATAATTAACAAGTGGTCAATCTGAGAATCCAGCCCTTATCACCTGACTGCAAATTCAACACTTATTTTTTCACGCCTTTTTTATGTATATATAAGTATATATAATAACAGTGTCTTATTTATCACATATTACAGATATGCTGTTAAAGTTGCACACTTTCTTCCTGTATACATTAACATATTTATAAGAATTTATAAAATGATATCATTTCATGTCTTTTCTTTAAGGCAAAGAAGCCAACCTGCTAATGCAAAATCTGAACAAGTTGCAAACACCTGAAGAAAAGTTTGATTTTTTATTCAAGAAGTATGCTGAATTGGTAAGATCTCTCATTAGCTTCTTTTGTCAGAATGATTCAGGCTCTGGTTAGAGCTCAGAAAAGGAGACTTAGTTTTTCGTGTACATCATTAAAGAGCATGGCTGGTAACTTTGAACAAGCCTGAGCTAGAATTCATAAAAGAAGAATTTCTTAAGGAGAAAAAAGAAAAGAAATGCTGAGAAATAACAGCAAGAGGGAGAAAGAGACTAGAATTGGAGTTCCTCCACCTCCAATTATGTGTGTAATTTTGGGAATAGGAGACTGAAGTATACATGATTGAAAATTGTAGATATTTTAAAGTTCTTTTTAGCTTTGGCACAAAACTATATTACATTGAGAAATATACTCAGTGCAAAGATAAACAGGCCAGGTGCAGTGGTTCGCACCTGTAATCCCAACACCTTGGGAGGCCAGGATAAGAGGATCGCCTGTGCCCAGGAGTTCGAGACCAACCTGGATAACTTAGTGAGCTCCCACCTCCACAAAAAGTTTTTAAAATTAGCTGTGCATGGTAATGCGCACCTGTAGTCCTAGTTTCTCAGGAGGCTGTGGCAGGAGGATTGTTTGAACCCAGGAGTTTGAGGTTACAATGAGCTGCAAATTCTGCCGCTGCACTCCAACCTGGTGACAGCAAGACCCTGTCTCTAAATATAAATAAATAAATACATACATACATACATAGTAATAGCTAGCTAGAAAGATAGATAATATATCTTCACTTTCATTCCGTTCTCCTACCTAGGGTTTTTGAGAGCCACAAAGGGAACACAGTAAGGGGTTCAGTCAATGCCACCCTTCAGTTCATGGCACATTCTAGTCTGGTCCATTTCTGTATTTATTATCTTTGATCCTCATTCTTCTCCCCCTTGCCTACAATAGCAAAGCATTTCATGTGGATTGTTTTGTACCTGGTTGTAGGTGCTCCTAGGCAGCCCCCTTCTCAATAAATTGAGCCTAGGAGCAAAGGAAGCCACTCCGAACCATCAGAGAATCTTCATAGTGGACTGTCTCCTTATCAGTAACTCTAGAATTGGCCAGTTGGAGAAAAGGGGAAGGTTTAGTAAGCCTAGTGCCTCTAGTTTCAAGGAACAACAAACGCCTGCCAATCTGAGAATGAATTGTAAACAGCAGCATCTGAGGTGCTAACCCTTCAGATTATGAGACCTGCAGCTAAGATGTGGCATCCTCTCTAGCAAACCTAGGCAGTGGCCTTCTCCTTTATTTCCGGCTTTTCTTAAATAAAAAAAAATCTTTTGAAGGAATGGCCATCAGAATCTCTATCTGTTCCACTTGGTTATCCAAATCAGGGAAGGAAAATAAACCATATTACCCAATCCCAGTGACATACCTCTTCCTGAAATGCACTGTGACCAGAGTCACTGGGTTAATTCCCACATGTTAGCACCTCACTAGCTCCTTTTGATTATGTAGGTATCATGTTAATCATGAAGTAAAATAAATCTTACTATACATTAAAAGTTCACACTAATAGTAGTGAAGTTAGATGGACCAAACAGACTTATTTTTATAGAAGTTGTTGAGAATAATCTTTCTTAAAATATAGATATATGCATTTTAGATAAATTGACATAGTTTGGGAAACTTTATTAAAGTTAGTCAGCTCCTTGAGTTCTTAATATTGGACTTGGCATTTATATATTGTGCATCAACTCTGTTGGCTATCAGAACACTATAGGAGTGGACAAGCTGTTCTAGCAACTTTGAGCATGTCCTATATGGGGCATATGTAAGTTATTTATACACAAGGAAATCTATTTTATGTCACTGTTGTTTAGAAGAATTGCATGAAATCATGTAGTTGCATATAAAAAGTAGTTTGAGGCAAAACAAAAATTCTTTCACTTATTTCTTTTGAAGAAACAGTGACAGGAGAATGAAACTTAAGACTACATATAGCAAAAAAATTCATCCAGGCAGTAGGTTGAACCGCCCCCAACAGTAGATTTACCATTGCGGCTATAAAAGCTTGAACTTCAGGGGGTCTCACTTACATGGGTACCTTTGAGGCTCGGGCCAAATTCTCTTTAATTTTTTTTAAAAGAGAGCCTCCAAAATGGAATAAGCTTCAGGCCCACAAACTCTCCGCCCTGTTGCCGGAGTACACTTCTGTGAGTGACTTGTTTCCTTTGTTTTCACTCTGAATCTAGTCCTGTAATCTTACTGTCCTTCTACCTGATGCATCCTGTTATGCTGAGTTATTGTGCAATAGATCCAGAAAAATTCTGAAACTCGAAGTGCCTGGCTGATTGCTTAACTCGGCCAACAATATTTTAAAATTGTTTTTTAGACACACAAATGACATCATGAAGATACCTAATGCTGAATACACAAAATAAACAAAAATATCTCTACTCTCTCGTGTAAAATACAAATTTGGTTTTATGCATATTATTTTACTGTTCTACTGTGTATGCAGAGATACTTTTTATTATAATTATAGTCACAAGGTACATATAAGTTGATATATGGTTTTCTTACATGACAGACATTTTTCCATATAATATACAGTCTTCATAAATATATTCTGTAAAAGTTGTACCATATTTCATTAACTGTCTGTATCTACTTATTCAATAATTTGAAGATAATTAAATCCTCACTATTTTGCTTTACCAAATATTTCTGCAATGAATATCATCATGCATTAGCTTTGCTTTTTTTCTCCTTAAGAAAAATTTCCAGAAATAGGATTACTAAATTAAGTAAGATGAGCACTTTCTGATTCTTCAACTTTACGGCCATATTGCTTTCAAAAAGAACAGTAGAAACTCACAAAGCAAGTATCAGCGTATCAGTTTTCTTGCAACTTGTATTGCATTGGCTACCAACAATTTCATACATAAAATGAGTTAAATGTCAAAAATAATATTTTCCCCCCAAATCTGGCCCCTACTCTCACCTTTCCATGTGATTCTCACCCATCCATCCTGGCTCTTTTCAGTATTTTCTGAGTCATTTTTCCTTTGCCCCTTCAATTTATCAACTCATACCAAGGCCATTCATGTTTGATTCCCAGCGCCACGTTCTGTACTTAAGGGCACCAGGCAGCATTCTAGACTAATACAGGACATGACTGATGGCGCTGCAGTCCCAAGGCAGTACATTGTGGAAGGATCACTTTTCGAGACTTACCAGTATTTTCTCCATGAGCCAGGGTTGCTCACCCTGTTCTCAGGGAACTCCCTGTAGCTTCTCATCCTCCTAGCAAAGCAGTCGCCCCCAGTAAACAAGAGATTATTTTTACAGAGACCATATTCAATTCAAACCTTACTTGCTATACTTCAGCATTTATATCATCTCTTGTACTAAACTTTCAAACCTGAGAGATCATCCTAGAAAAAAATGAATAGGAGAAAAATGACCCAAAAAAACCTATTACATTTCCTTTTCAGAAAAGAAAAATTATGAGGAATTTCAATTATTTATGTGGAGACAAAAGCCTATTTCCTTGCTCACTGATTTGGATATTAATATAGAAAATGTCTAAAATATAAGTGTTTGCAAGGAATAAATCATCAAATTCAAAGCTGTGAATCAAACTGCCACTCTAGCTCACTTATCCTTGCAGAGTCTAAATCCTGTAATATTATCTGACATTGTATTCATTAATAAATAAGGATCAGCTCATTAATAAATAAGGACACTTCATGACTAAATTAGGAAATGGCCTGGGAGAAATATTTTTTTGCATTTAACTTCCTCATATGTAGTTAAAGCAACATCAGTAATAGGATTTTAATTTAGTACTTAGCATTAATTTTGCTTTTTAACTTGGTAAAAAAAGACAAAGAAAACAAGAGAAATTACAGACAAAAATTCTATATGCCTATTACCATTGTACAGAACTGTGCCTAAGATAAATCACAAACCCTGTTGACTCGGTTGCAAGGTTTGCTTTCATTCATTAAGAAACCCCACACATTCACATACTTCACATTTACATTTGTGAACAAAATTATCCACATACCACAAAAGAAAAGCCAGAAAGTTAAGGATTTTTATTTTATAGCAAGGTAAGATAGATCTAACTAAATTCTAAATTTGGGTGATCTTGCAGTAAAAGCAAAACATTAAAGGCCGGGCATGGTGTGGTGGCTCCTACCTGTAATTCTAACACTTTGGGAGAGGCTGAGGCAGGAAGATCACCTGACACCAGGAATTTGAGACCAGGCTGGGCAACATAGCAAGACCCTGTGTCTAAAAAGCAAACAAAAAAAAATCAGAATTAGCTGTGTGTGATGGTGCACGCCTGTTTCCCCATCCACATTCCCCATTCATGTTCACCTTCCTTTGCGTGTGCCGGGACCCTCTGCCTTGAAGGAATGTCTGCTTCTCCCCTGTTCCTTCAACCTAATGTTTAGATTAGACTTACAAGACTCAGTTCAGATGTTACCTCCTCTTGGAAGTTCTCTAGAATATTCGAGCGCTGGTTAGTAACCCCTTCTCTGTGTTGCCTACCACAGTGCTGTACAGCTGTCTGCTTTCTTGTGCTAGGCGGTAAGAACCTAGAGGGCAGGGAATGTGTATTGTTCATTGTCCCTGATGCCAAGAATCACTTGAATATTGGCTGAATTACTTCATTAATAATTTAAAAAATTTTAAATGTAAAGGACAGTACTGGTGTATTATCTGGCTTAATATTAAAAACAAAATAAACAGACCAAGCGCAGTGGCTTGTGCCTGTAATCCCAGGACTTTGGGAGGCCAAGGCAGGTGGATTGCTTGAGCTCAGGATCTCAAGATGAGCTTGGACAGCTTGGTGAGAATCCATCTTCACAAAAAAATTTAGCTGGGCATGCTGGCGCACATCTGTAGTCCCAGCTACTCAGGAGGCTGAGGCAGGAGGGTGCCTTAAGCTAGGTGTTCGAGGCTTCAGTGAACTATGAATAATTGTGCCACTGCACTCCAGCCCGGCTGACTGAGCAAGACTCTTGTCTCTTAAAAAATTAAAATTACTTTGGGAGGCCGAGGTGGGTGGATCATGAGGTCAACAGATTGAGACCATCCTGGTCAACAAGGTGAAACCCCGTCTCTACTAAAAATACAAAAAATTAGCTGGGCATGGTGGCGCGTGCCTGTAATCCCAGCTACTCAGGAGGCTGAGGCAGGAGAATTGCCTGAACCCAGGAGGCGGAGGTTGCGGTGAGCTGAGATTGCGCCATTGCACTCCAGCCCAGATAACAAGAGCGAAACTCCATCTCAAAAAAAAAAAAAATTAAAATTAAAAATCAAAATAAAACATTAAATGGACAATGAGCAAGCACAAATCATTTCTCTTTTCAACTTATGAAACACCTATAGGGTGTTTTCCTCCTGACACTTAGATAAAGCCACATTCTCCAGTGTTCCCTAAACAGGGGCAGTTTTGTCCACCAGGTGACAATAGGCATGTCTGTCTGGAGATACTTTGGGGTGTCACAAGTGGGCAGTGCTACTGGCATATACCAGGTAGGGGCCAGGGACAGTGCTGAACAACCTACAAGACATACGGTGGCCCCAACGACAAAAATTATCTGGCCCAATATGTCACTTGTACTGGGGTTCAGAAGCCCTGACATGTGGTTTAATCTTCAGAAGGTAAAGTCTAAACCAGAATGGCAACAATAATAGCAATATATAAATTTCTTTTTTTGACATGGAGTCTTGCTCTTGTCCTCCGGACTGGAGTGCAATAGTGTGATCTGAGCTCACTGCAACCTCCACCACCTGGGTTCAAGTGATACTCCTGCCTCAGCCTCCCAAGTAGCTGGGATTACAGGTGCCTGCCATTATACCCAGCTAATTTTTGTATTTTTGATAGAGACAAGGTTTCACTGTTTTGGTCAGTCTGGTCTCGACCTCTTGACTTCAGGTGACCTGCCCTCCTCAGCCTCCCAAAGTGCTGAGATTACAGGCATGAGCCACTGTACCGGGGCTACAATATAAAAATTTCAAGAGCCGACAATGGTCATTTAAAATCCAAACATAAGTACAAGAAATTTCACTCCTATCTAATAACTATTGTGCAAAATGAAGGACCACATCTATTCTATGAGCAGCTTTGCATGAGAGATATTTAATAACAGATTACTTATTTTCTAAGGAGGAATCTGTTTCAATCAATATTTTTAGTAATGTAGGTCTTGTTTTTCCAATGCTAATTTCCACCAGTAGCTAGAAATTGCATGTAAGTATGAAGATAGAATATCATATATACATATCCTTAGCTTTACCTGGCAATGACTTAAAATGTTTATTTTAGGGTGGCAGGAGGGAGAGAGGAAAGAAAGAAAATGTGAACTGAAGAAAGTGTGACAGTTGTTCATCTCGCTCAGAAAGAACAACTGCTTTTTAATTTTTATTTTATTTATTTATTTATTTGAGATGGAGTTTCACTCTGTCACCCAGGCTGGAGTGCAGTAGCATGATCTTGGCTCACTGAAACCTCCGCCTCCCAGGTTCAAGCGATTCTCCTGCCTCTGCCTTCCAAGTAACCGGGATTACAGGTGTGAACCACCACGCCCCACTAATTTTGTATTTTTAATAGACGGCATTTCACCGTGTTGGCCAGGAGGCTCTTGATCTCCTGACCTTGTGATCTGCCCGCTTCAGCCTCCCAAAGTGCTGGGATTGCAGGCGTGAGCCACCACGCCCGGCCCCGATGGCTTTTTTAAAATGGAGAAACTGAGGCACATGTCAGGGCTTATGTGGCATCTATATCCATTTGCATTAGGCTCGGTGAGGCACCAAACACCTGAGGTCCAGAAGCACCAGGGCTTTTCCTTCTGTTCACCAACAAAGTCATTATTAGGACTAGTATTTACCTGGCTTAGGCACCGTCCAGGCACTACAGGAACTGAGGTCAGTGGAGGAAATGGCTCTGGACAAGGGGCTACTGCTTGAATGTGGCCCCAGTGATGGTCAGTCTGAGATTGACACTCTTGAGAGTCCACTGATCTCTCTCTGGAGGCTTCTGAGGTTGATCTAGAAGCCAGATCTAGAACCTCACCAGATCTAGAACTTCATAATAATATTCCCTGATGTAAGAAATAAAAATACATTACATGCAGTTAAGTTTACGTTTCAGCAAACAATAGATAATTTTTCAGAAAAAATGTCTCATGCAATATATGGAGTATATTAATACCTATGCTAAACATTATTTCTTATTTATTTGAAATTTAAATTGAACTTGGTGTCCTGCATTTTACTGACAACCCTACCCTAGAACTTCAGCATCCGAGATGGAAAGTACGTGGTAAGTTGGTTTCATGTTCCACACCAGTCCTGATACAATACTTGAGTTACAGCTGCTGGAGGAACATGAGAAGAGTTCACCTGGGCTCAGCAGAAACCAGCAAAATGATTTATTTGTTGTAAGCACAGAGCGGGTGCGGGTGGGGTGCAGCAAGGCAGGTTACGGATATTTGCTATTCATGCTGTTGAATCGTGCAGTAGCTATTTTTGATGCTTTGGTGAAAACCCGTCAATGGTTAGGTAGTGGAAGGGTACTTTCTCTTCTCCTTTCCCACACACAAACAATCCACACTCAGAGCCAAAATTATAAAGAGGACTTCATTTTCTGTTTACTGGGAGGCTGCTTTTCTATTTCCTATTTTTAAAAATAGTGCTATAAGCTTGTTTCAAGGAAGAATGATGAGAACTGAATGAAACCCAAGCAGACAGCCTGTTGATCATTGCCTCAGTGCAAGGCATCGTCATGAACCCTGGCAGCTTACAGATTCTGAGACGTGCCTTTCAATTTTGTCTGGCTATTCAATATTGGTCAGATAGACTCAGGAAAAATATTTAAAATATTTTTAGACTCTCCCAAAATAGATCCAAGTAAAAAGAGACTAATAATAACAAAAAACCTATAAATGCCATGCTTTAAAAACTATACCTATAAATGCTACAAAGGTGACATTTGTTAATTTCATGTATTGGAATTGGAAATTGGAAAACATGTTTCCAAACAACCATAGAGTAATCTTTAGGTTTGCTATTTTTCTATCGACTCCAAGGAGATCTCTGCCATCTTCTTCCATTTTGTATCTCCATGTGTACAGTTGGATGAACATCGTACTGAGCAAAAGAAGTTAAAACTCCTCCAAAAGAAACAGATACAAATTCAAAAAGAAAAGGACCAGTTACAAGGTGAACACAGCAGAGCTATCCTCGCTCGAAGCAAATTGGAGAGTCTATGCCGGGAACTGCAGAGACACAACAAGACTCTGAAGGTATGTGTCCCCTTGACTCAGAATAACAGACTTTCTTTCATGGGGCACAGAGATAGGCCTCTGCTACTCGTGGAAAGAGTGTAAATTTTATTTTATTTTATTTTATCTTAAGACGGAGTCTCGCTCTGTCACCAGGCTAGAGTGCAGTGGTGCGATCTCGGCTCACTGCAACCTCTGCCTCCCAGGTTGAAACGATTCTCCTGCCTCAGCCTCCCAAGTAGCTGGGACTATAGGCACACACCACCATGCACCGCTAATTTTTGTATTTTTAGTAGAGACAGGGTTTCACCATGTTGGTCAGGATGGTCTTGATCTCTTGACCTCGTGATCCTTCCGCCTCGGCCTCCCAAAGTGCTGGGATTACAGGTGTGAGCCACTGCACCCGGCTGAGTGTGAATTTTAGAATCAGAGAGGCTTGGGTTCAAATACTGGCTCTGCCCCTTGCTTGCTAGTAACCTTAAATCATTTTACCTCCTCGAGCTACTTCCCTCATTTATAAAATGGAGATTAGACCAGCTTCACTGTGTGGTTGGGAAAAAATTAGATGAATTTGAATATGTAAGGTACCCACATGGTACCTGATAGAGTGCAGGCCCTTAATCAGATGCATAGCATTCCCCTTACCTTTTTATTATGTTGAGTTTGTATCTAAGGTAGGCCTTAGCTCTTTATAAAAAATACATTTGTAAAGATTCAACATTTTTGGCATTCTGCATGATGTGAGATAACTGGACACAAACCCAATTGACAAAATGAAGTGAGATTGAGAGCCAAAATGTCAATAGTCATTTGAAAAAAAAAAGAAGCTATTGGAAAAAGCACTGAAGCTCTTCAGGCTTAATTATTCAATCTACAAATAATAGACTGATCACTTCATTTGGTCCACCCGGGTTTCATTAATTACAGCATAAGCCCTAGCAGTGTAGTTAATTTGATTACACAGAGACACTAGCTGCATTCAATATAGCAAGATGCAGGGCTCTCCAAGATGATACTGTGCACAGCCCCAATCCCCTTTTCAGCTGAAGATCCTAAAGCTTTTGACAAACAATAATTAGTTAGACACCAATATTCCCATGAGGTAGTTATTATTATAAGTGTTTAAAAGGAGATACTTCAAGAAACAGAATACATGAAAATCATTGCTGAATTTGTATAATTGAGTTAGAAAGAAAAACACAACAGAATCATGGTTCCTCATACTCCAAATTGTTTTTTGATATCTGGGAAATGGAGAAGTGGGGTGACGAAGTCGAAGTCTCAAATTGCAAGGTTTAGGAGGTGGGCTACTGGCATCTTGTCAACAATGGCACTGAAGATAGACAACCGGGCTGAATGGCGGCCTGAGGATGGAAGCATTGTCCTCAACTCAAGATCTGGATTCAAAGGATGCATAAATCTCCTGTGTGTCTACATAAATCCCCTGGCTCTCAGTAATGTTACATAGTAAGGAGATAAAAATTAAATCAGATAGGGTGGAATCATTTATCAACAAAGTGATATGAAGAGTGGAATGACACAGCGTGGTCTTCTTGGGTAGTATTAAAAGAAAGATCAGCTGGTCACAGTGGCTCACACCTGTAATCAAAGCATTTTGGGAGGCGAAGGCAGGATGATCACTTGAGCTTGGGAATTCGAGACCAGCCTGGCAACATTTATGATAGTGAGACGTCATCTCTACCAAAAATCAAGAAAATTAGCTGAGTGTGGCACATCCCTGCAGTCTCAAGCTACTTGGGAGGCTGAGGCAGGAGGATCATTTGAGCCCAGAAGTTAGAGCCTGCAGTAACCTATGATTATACCACTACGCTCCAGCCTCAGTGACAGACCAGCGTCTCAGAAAAAAGAGAGAGAGAGAGATCTTATTAATACCATCCAACCAGCTAGAGACCCTTCCCCACCAAAAAAACAGAATGATCAAAGTGGCAAGAAACCTTGTAAGTGTGCCCATATACCCTCAGTAATGGCTTCCTGTTATGAACAATGACAGTAAGTATCATTATTATGCCAGAAGCTGTGCTAAGTGCTTTATGTGCATTATTTTATTTAATCTTCACGGTAACCCAGTGAGGATTAAGATCTCCACTTGATTGATGAAGAAACTGACACTCAGCAATCCAAATCGGTTGTCTAACGTCAAGCATATTTTAAATGTCAAAATCAAAACTCAAATTCAAAATGTGTTCAGACTTTCTAATTTTTTTTTGACCCAGGGACTATTTAGAAGTGTTATTTAATTTTTATAACGTATCATACACGGTCTATCTTGATGCCATATGGACTTCAAAAGAACGTTTTTCAGACATTGGGTGTAGTATTCCATAAGTAACAATTAGCTTTAAATTATTTAGGTCTTTTTTGAATTTTTTATCTATCAGTTGCTGAGAAATGAGAGTTAAAAATCTCCTCATATAATTGTGGAATTGTCTACTTGTTTTAATTATGTCTATTTCTGCTTCATGTACTTTGAAGCATTAACATTAGGTGTGTATACATTTATGATTATGTCCTCTTGATGAATCGGTCATTTTACCATTATGAAATGTCTGTTAGTAATAATCTTTACCTTGATGTCTACATTATCTGATACTAATTTAGCCACTCTAGTTTCTTACTCTTACTGTTTGCATGGTGTATCTCTTTTCATCCATTCACTTTCAGCCTGTGTCTTTATATTTAAAGTGCATGCTCTTAAGATAGCGTATAGCTGGATCTTGCTTCCTTTCGTTCCTACAGTATCTGCCTTTTAATTGCAGTACTAGCCCATTAACATATAATGTACTTACGGATGTGGTTTGATGTATGCCTCCATTTTATTATTTGTTTACTATTTGTCACCTCTACTTTCTGCTGCTTCTTTTCTTTTCCTGCCTTCCTTTGGATTATTTGAATATTTTAAAATTACATTTTAATGTATCTCATATTTTTAAATTATAACACTTTGCATTATCTTTAGTCGTTGCTCTGTGATTACAATATGCATGCTTAATTTTTCATAGCCTTCCTGGAGTTAATGTTGTATTATTAGTTCACATAACTGAAGAAACACTGCAACTGAATAGAGCAATTTACTCCCTCAGCCTTTAAGCTATCATTACTATATATATTATATTTACATACTTTCGTCAAGCCAATGAGACATTATTATAAATTTTAATTTAAACAATTACATGGATTTCTTTTTAAATTAAAGGCAAAAACTATCCCTTTTATTTACCCAGATGTTTACCATCCCTGACACTTACTCATTCTGTAGCTTCACATTTTTATCTAATGTCATTTTCCCTCAGCCTGAAGTACTTCCTTCAGTATTTCTTTTTTTCTCTTTCTTTCTTTCTTCTTTCTTTCTTTCTTTCTTTCTTTTCTTTCTCTTTCTTTCTTTCTTTCTCTTTCTTTCTTTCTTTCGATGGAGTCTTGCTCTGTCACCAGGCTGGACTGCAACAATGCAATCTCAGCTCACTTCAACCTCCACCTCCTGGGTTCAAGTGATTCTCCTGCCTCACCCCCCTGAGTAGCTGGGACTATAGGCGTGCACCAAAAAAAAAGCAAATTTTTGTATTTTTAGTAGAGTTGGGGTATCACCATGTTCCAGGATGGTCTTGATCTCTTGACCTTGTGATCCTCCCACCTCCCACTTCAGCCTCCCAAAGTGCTGGGATTACAGGCATGAGCCACCATGCCAGGCCTAGTATTTCTTATAGTACAGATTTGCTGGCAATCAATTCTCTTAGTAGCCTTTTATCTTCAAAGCATCTTTGTTTTCTCTTTTTTTTTTGAGACGGAGTTTCACTCTTGTTACCCAGGCTGGAGTGCAATGGCGCGATCTCGGCTCACCGCAATCTCCGCCTCCTGGGTTCAGGCAATTCT